CAAGGGACTATGAAAGTACATGATGCCTGCTACCCACAGTCTTCTGTTTCCCCAGACATTCTAGGTGTCCATGCTCAGTGATGTTAAATAGGATGTCAAGGAATCATGCATTGGATATGAAAACACTCACTTTCTCCCCACTGGGTCATTCTCTGTGTGCTGGAGTCAGGGTTTTGCTCCTTCCACTCCAGAGAGTTGGAAATTGAAGCAGGAGAATGGTGAGTTTGAGGACATATAGCGAGACTCCATCTCAAAAAGACAAAAACAAAAAACAAAAAAATCCCTTATTTTAGAAATACGAAAAATTTCCAACATACACGAAAGTTCAGAGAATGAGATAATGAATATCCACGTACCCATCACACAACTTCAATATGTATTGACATTTTCCCATTTTGTTCAATGGACATTTTTTTTTTTAGCAGCACTGGGGCTTGAACTCAGGGCCTCACACTTGCTAGGCAGGTGCTCTACCACTTGAGCCACTCCACAAGCTCTTCAATGGACATCTTTTTTTTGTAGTATTGGGGCTTGAACTCTGTGATGGGTTTTTTTTTTTTTTTTTTTTTTTTTTGAGATAGGGTTTCACGAACTATTTGTCTGGGCTGGCTTTGAACCATGATCTTCCTGATCTCTGCCTCCTGAGTAGCTAGGATTACAGGCATGAGCCACTGGTACCCGGCCTTTAAATGACATATTAATCCATGTCCTAGGGAAACACTCATGGTCTCAGACCCTGTTGAACACTTCTTCCCTGATGCTTTCCCCAAGATGGCCTTCTTTCCTGTTCTCTCTTACTCCTTCACTGCTCCATGGTGAGCTCCACTTGTGGCCTCCTTTCTCTGCCTGTCCCCTTAATGTTGGTGTTTGCAGGGTTCTGACCTGGGTTCTCTACCTCTCACTTTCCACACTCTCTCTGGGTTAACATACCCTCTTTCATGTCCTCACAACCCGCTGAGCTGTAAGACCCACATTTCAGTGAGGTCCCCATCTCTGCCATTAGCCCACACACCTTTCCCGGTCTCAGACCACTAAGTCAGGAAGTCTCCAGGACATGGATCCCTGGCCGGCCCACAGACATTTCCATTCCCCATGTATAAAATTGTCCATCTTTCTGCCCAAACCAACTGTTCCCTGAATTTCCACTCATCTACTCAACCAATATTGATTAATACATAATGGGTATAGAAGAAAAATTTAAGATTTTGGAATATGCTGAAGAATTACTGCTGTAATGACAAAGACAACAAGTCTGGGTGAAATGTGGAGAAATTGAAATCCTCATTTGTTGCAGATGGGAATGTAAAATCATACAGTCCTGGCTTCCCAGAGCTGGATCAATACCATGGAGGATGTTAAACTGGATGCCCTGAGGTGGTGGTGGTGGTAGTTGTGGTGGGCAGTGGCCCAGCTTAGGTAATTGAGGGATATGGAGAGGGCGGATTGCAGGGCCTTTAAGGGATGGCTTGGGTATGGATGACCCATCAAAGTGCCTGGGAAAACTGGGCAGGCTCTGAGAGCTCCCTGACAAGTCTGGAGTAGAGGAAAAGTGGCTACTAGAATTCCCCTGGTTTGTGCTGGGGAAGCCATAGTGATAGCCCTTGTGTATCTTCTCAGGATGGCCGACGCCTCCTGGAATTGTGACCAGCCCTGAGACAGAGTGAGGCTCTGGGGAAATGACTATCAGATTTCCTGCCAACCCTGGCCAAAAGAGCAGGGGGCATCAACTGTACCTAATGTGATTTATCAAAATAAAGAAAGGTTGCATTTCTTACACCCTGAATGACACACTGTGATCCATATCGGAATGACAAATTGTGATATGGTATATGCATTTCCCACCTCTTCCTCTAGATGAGCCATCCACTCCATGACTAAGACTCTCAGGGCTGTCACTCCAGTTTGACCTTGGTCCAGTCCCTGCCTCCTATTTACATGCATGGTCTCTCCTCTCCCCCAATATGTCACAAATGCCCAGGCAGTGCGTGCACCTGGCATGCATTAAGACAGATCATTGTGTGAGGAAAAGAATGACACTGTGGCCTTTCCTCAGATCAGCCACCAGGGGCTGCAGCAAGCCTAACCTTCAGGTGGTTCCAGTCAGGACAGGCTCTGTGCCTCGCTGGTCCCGAGGTCCCTTTCATGCCCTTGTGTCCAGGGCGTTGTCCTTTCCACAGGCTCATCCCTGTGGGCCAGGCTGCATGAGCTGTGAGGCCTGGAGGCCAAGCCCGGGAAACTGGCAGTTACCTTGAGCTGTGGGCTGGAGTGGGCAGCCAAAGTGTGATTCCAGGCCCAGGGCTGGACGTTTCTCAGTGGAGAGTCACAGATGGAACAGTGTGGGTGCAGTCGCCCTTCTGAGCCCAGGGAATGTGGGGATGGCATTGTCTCCTCTGATTTAGTGCCAGGATCTGCTCCTGGGCCAGCAGCAGGAGCCTCGTCTTCCAGGCACCCCACTTGCCCATCCTCCTAGGTCCTTGTCCTCAGTGGACGACTGGGGTAGGGAGGGGCACCTGAGCCAGGGTCCTTCCTCTTTCTTCATGTGAGAACTGCAGGCCCCAAGGGGGAAGGATGGGGAAGGTTGGAGACAGTGGACCTGCAGAAGCCTGCACTGAGAAGGGCAAAAAGACTGTGGCCTGTTTTCTGACTTTCCTTGCCCCAGCTCAGGATGGGAGGCCCTGAGCCCTGACCTCCCTTCCCTCACCACACCTTTTCACCTCCTCTGTAATGGAGAGCTGGCCTTACCAGAGCAGGGCATGTGTAGGAGGCACAACCTGCATTTCAGAGGCTCTGAGGCTTGCTGTTGTTCCTGAGCTGGAGTTTTCTGCCTTACAATCTCGTTGAATAGTCAGGGCCTTCTTACAAATGAGCATATTGAAGTGGCCGGTGCTGGGTTCCTGCTATATCTCACTGCAGCTCTCTGTCCTCATCCTCATTCTCCCCCAGCTTCTTGTGGAAATCGCTTCTGCTACCTTCCTGTGTGCACTTCTCTTCTGGCCTCTTAAGTCTCCGAGGCTTTGAAGTGGGCCACTTCTCCTTCCATTTTGACACTGTCTCTGAGGAACTCCACTTCTGGTGTGGGGCTTCAATGATTACCTCCCTTCCACCCCCCAACTCTTGGGTCTGATTTCTAGCCAACCCTGCCTGATAGCCAGTGGCTTCCTGCCCTGGGTGTCCGGGAGGCCAGGGCACCTCGTTTGCCATCTCAGATGTGGTACCATCATCAGCCTGGCCTGTGCATCATGGGGTCAGAGGAAGAACTGAGAGGAAGTGGGACATGTCCACACTTAAAATCTCTTTAGCCTCAGTGGCTTTTTCTTGTCTTCAGGTCCCTCATGATGAATGCTTATATGGCAGCAAGCTCTGGGGGCCAGGAGAAACCTGTGTGTGTGTGTGTGTGTGTGTGTGTGTGTGTGTGTATGTTGAGGTGGTTTCTTGGGGCAGGAAACCCTAGTTCTGTGGGTGTGAGGTGAGGAGCAGGCTTGGGCTAGCTGGATGGGGAAGCTTGCTCAGGAAACTGGACTTCAGGGAGCTCTTAGTACTTCCGGCCTTGGTCTTGTAAGAGCTGAGCTGAGCTCCTTTAAAGGGGGCAGTGTTAAAACAACTTTAACAGGGGTAGGAGTATTCTTTGGGAGCAAGCTTTGGTGAGAACAGGTGGAGTGCTCCCCCACCACCCTGCTGCCAGTTCCCTTATGGCTCCAGGCTTTAAAAGAGAGGCCACCACACAGCCTTGAGGCTCATCCAGTGGGCTCCTGGCAGGACCTGTGTCTGACTGAGGCTGAGGCTGAGCTTCAGGCTTGCTGGTAGTTCCCCAGGCTTCTTTCTCATCACCTGGCTGCCAGCACTACATTCACAGACCTCAGGGTTGGCCCTTGCTCCTTCCCCCATGTCCTGGGATTCACAAGACTGATCTCCCCTGACTGGTCCCAGTTTTCTGCGCCAGAGACCTGCCAACCTCTTGGCCAAGTCCTCATGCAATCATGCCTTTCATTCAAGGACTACCAGAGTGAGAGACCGGACCCTGGCCCTCTAGCCACACCGATGTCCTTTTCTACAGCCTGCCTGGACTGTCCAGCACCCTCTCAGAATACCACTGCCACTTTCTCCAGGAAGCCTTGGCTGACCCCACCAGCGTCCTCCTTCCATTGTCCTCTCAAAGCCATTGTCCTAGGGCTTCATCTCACACACATTTTATAATTACAGCAGTGACCCTAATCCTGGCACACAGTAGGTGCTAAGGAAAAGTCTGCTGCATGTAGGAGTGAATGCAGGACTTTGGGCATTTAAAATTTTTATTTTATTAAAAGAATCTTATTTTGACTGGGTGTGGTTGTACACATCTGTAATCCCAGCTGTCAGGAGCATGAGTTCCATGCCAGTCTGGGCTACACAGCAGGCCCCTCTCTCAAAAAAACAAAACGTGGGCTGGTGGAGTGGCTCAAGCCATAAGAGCACCTGCCTAGCAAGTGTGAGGCACTGAGTTCAAACCCCAGTGCTGCAAAAAAAAAAAAAAAATCCCCACTCAATTCAAGGCATTTTTTAGAAGTGCCTTGTTGAGCTGTCATGGACATTAAATGAGGACCAGCAAGTATTAGCTTTGACCCTCATTAGTGTCCTGAGACTCACGATCAAGCCTGCCCATGGCAAACAACTGTCACCCAGAATTACCCTGGGTCTGCTGGGTGCCTGCTGGGTTCATCTTCAGGCTTCAACTCTGACCCACCCCCGGCTGAGCCTGTTGGGATTTGGTGCTATCACAGGCTTTCAAGACTCTGTCCCTTGCCTTGCCCTGCCACTTTCATGGTGGGTCTCATCCTCGAGCTCTTGCTATCTCCTACCCACTCCCTTCTCATGTGGACAAACCGCAGGAACTGGGCATTTCTTAAGACTCTGCTGGCCACATGGTCACCATAGAGCCCGACATGCCCATTTTGGAGTGTACATGGCATGCACACATGTGCCCCCACCCCCACAGAGTCAAAGAGAGACACTGCTGAGCCAGAGGGACCAGTTTTATTAGATTCCAGCAAGACTATAGAGCACAGCTTCATGCAGATTAAATATGTGCCCCCCCGCCCCGGGAGGGGAGCACTTTTCCACTGGCAGCTCCTTCAATGGCAAGTCAAAGGGGGGCATCAAGGGGATCCCTCAATATACTCTGCGTGGGGGGCCGTGGGGATCATGACTGGGGGCGGAGGTGAGACAGAGGGCAGTTGAAGGCCCCTGGGACCTGGAGTCTTCAAAGGCTCTGGGACCACAGGACCTTGGTCCTTTGCTGGTGCTGTCACCAGAGGACCTGGTTCCTTCAGAGGCACCAGGACTAGAGGAACTTGATTCTTCATGGGCTCAGGGGCCACAGGACCTTGATTCTTTGGAGGCCCTGGGACCACGGAACCTTGATCCTTGGCTAGTGCTGGAACCATGGGGTCTTGGTTCTTCACAGACTCAGGGACCATAGAACCTTGATTCTTTATGGGTGGCACAACCACTGGATCAGGTCCCTTCAGATGCTCAGGGACTTCTACATCTTGATCCTTAACTGACTCTGGGACCACTAAGCCTTGATTCTTCACAGGCTCAGAGACTACGGGACCTTCATCCTTTACAGGTGCTGTGACCTCAGCACTTTGATCCTTCCCAGCCTCAGGGGCCACAGGACCTTGATCCTTCAGAGATGCTGGTACCATGGACTCTGAATCCTTAACTCGTGCTGGAACCACAGGACTCTGATTCTCTGGGACCAAGGGAGCTTGGTCCTTGGCTGGTGCTGAGAGTGCAGAACCTTCGTTCTTTAAGGGCCCAAGGACTGTGTGATCTTGATCTTTGATGGGTCCTGGGGCCAGGGGACCAATATCCTTCAGAGGCCCCGGAACCACAGCACCTTGACCCCTTGGAGACTCAGGAACTAGAGGACCTTGATCCTTCGGAGGCTCTTGGACCACAGGACCTTGACTTTTTAGGAGTCCTGGGCCCACAGGAGCTTGACTCTTGTCTGGCTCTGTGGCTACAGGACCTTGATTCTTATATAAATCTCCAGCAGGCTGGACGGGACTCCTGCAAAGGAGAGAGAGGTGGTCATGATGAGGACAGAGTTCGGGCCAGGGATAAGGCAGAGCACAGATTGCCTGCTGAGACTTGGCCTAGCCCAGCCTGGGAGGACCCGCTGTCCTGGAGAGCCAGGAGGGAATTGTGGATTCCGTGTCAGCACAGAATGAGGGGTTGGGCGGTGGAGGCTCAGGACTCAGCCATTCAATGTGTTTGCCAATTGATTATAACCTGCACGCAGCACAGAGGGCAGTGCCCAGGTGACACGGCAGTACTGCCGCTGGATCAGAGTTGTCTAGTGGCATCCCAGCAGCCCGTCCAGCCCACACTCTGCCCAGGATTGCGGGGCCCATTCTGGGAACCCCATCTTAGCTATCTGCTCAGATGATCCTACAGGCCAGGTTGCTTGGTCCTTGTTTTCAGGGCTTTCTGAGGTTTCTTTCCTTCCCAGTGCCCATTAGGGCTGACTACTTTGAGAGGCAAGGTGTCCATAGTGTGTTAAGAAAGGGGCGGTGGAAATAGTCTCACTCCCTTCCCTGCAAAGGGAAAAGTATTTTATCACTGACGTTGTTTAGAACAGTCAGCACAGAGTGATAATAAAAAGTCAATCCGCTTTTTAACATTATTGCCATTAAATTCTCTATAGACAGGGTATCACCCTCACTGCCCCTGCCTTTGGTAGGTAACTGGATGGAACTCTCCATTTTGATGAGGCCCTGGTTCCTACCTTCATCCCCACTTACTTTCCCTCTACTCTCCTCAAACCCTCTCCCTCACCTGCTCCAAGGGTCCTGGGCTTATTTCCCTGCAACCAAGAGCCCAAACCTCTCCCAGAGTCCTCTGGGCTGCTCCACTCCATGTGCCTCATTGCAGCCACCTGCCCCATCCCTTGATCCACCCACATTTCAGAGCACATATGCAAACACGGTCGCCCAAAAGCAAACACTGCCACACTCTGGTCCACAGTGCACACCCCTTCCTCACAGGCCAGGCTGAAAGTCACTACTTAAGAGTGGCATTGCTGAACCAGCTTCACAAATCTTGCACAACTAGGCACATTCTGCCTTCTATATCACTTCTCTCTACAGCTCATTTCAGAGTCCTGTGGACACACAGGGTGACACAGATTTTATTATCCCTGGTGGTAGATGAAGAAACTGAAGTCCTGAGAGGGCAAGTGAGAGTCTAGAGTCTGGGTCTTTCTGCTCTCCTGCCTGTGCTCTTTCCCCTAGAGTGCCTGGTTCACAACAGGTGCTCAAATATAAGGTAGTTCTTATTATTACTACTTTATGCTTCTGTTACACTTCACACCAAGTCTGTAAATTTATATGCTTAGGACCACTGTAGCATTTGAAGTTCCATCCTTTTAAAGGATGTGCTCTTCCTTCCTCCCTTTCCTTCCTTCCTTCCTCCCTCCCTCCCTCTCTCCCTTTCTCTTTCTCTCTCTCTCTTCTCTTCTTCCTCCTTCCCACCTCTTTTTTTTTTTACATGAGAGGGAAAGAACCCTCACATGCTAGGCAAGAACTGTACCCCTGGGCCACACCCCAGTCCTTACTTGCTTCTCCAAGCTGCTCCACTGAGACCTCTACCTGATAACACTTTCTCAGCTCATTAGGGTTTAATCCCTCTGGGCCTTGAGCTTGTCATCTATTCATCAAGTATAATGATATTTACTTAGAAATGTATAATGATTAGAGGTCAGGTACATAGAGCACTTTGCATCATGGGAGGATTAGGTGGTATTATGACTGCTTTCCTATTTACTTAGAAGTACAGTTACACATATTTGGACTATTTTTATTGCATCATAGAATCCTGATCCAGGAGTTTTTCACTGCTTTTTGGCATCTTGAGCTACCTAGGGACTTATGTCTCTCAGCATGTACACAGTGCACACAGCCTATCTGTCCTATCCACCTTTGCTTTCGCTACAGTGGAAGGAGAGGGCCAGGGTGGCTCCTGGTTCAGTATGATACAAGGTGCAGCTGCCCTAGCCAAGTGGACAGAGCTGGTTGTCACCAGCAGGACCTTAGGGCTTGAGAAGAGGGCCAGGGAAGTCTGTGAGGAGCATGCAGAATTGAAAGATGGCATTGAAACACCAGTCACTGGGGCTAGCCAGAAGGGAAAAGTAAAAATCAAGTTCAGAATAGAATGAAGCAGGGAATGGATTAGATGCATCCTCTCAGATCCTGAGGCAACTTGGGTAAGGTCATCCTGATGGGGCAATGAAGTCCAGAGGGGGTAAAAGAAGGTGACCATGGCTAAGCCTGATCTGAGGTGCTTGGGCTGCAGAACCCCATTGGCAAGACATTTCCCTGAATGTTTGTGGCATTGGCTCCTATGCCACATCCCAAATTTCTGTTTATTGAACACTTTCACCCAGCTGTGAGATAACTCCAAATTTTCATGGATAAAGTACTCCATATTGGTTTGATTAGTAAATTTTTCTCTTAAAGTAATTGTCTTTAATTATGAGTGGATTAGAATTCAGATTAGAAATGATGAGTTAAATCAAACCCAAAGTATTCCTTTTTTTTAGTGTTAACTTTAGGAAAAAAATCTGTGATTTAGTTAAAAAGTATATGCAATGTTTAAGATAGTTTGGCATATTAGACTAACTGTTAAGTTTTGTGACTCCAGTATGAAATGGATCATGGAGTAAATTAGATATATATGTTATTTTGTTTTATTCCTATGTACTTTTCTTAATAAAGAAGTTTGAAAATATAATCAGGACATCAAAAAAATAATTAAAACCCTTCTGTGAAATATGACTTATGATGAAAATCTCAATATTTGTCTCTTATATTTTATCATAAATAAAATCTGGGCTATAAGTATTTCCCAGGTACTGAATCAGCTTTTCAGACAATTTAAAGATGATCAAAGGACTGGGTGAGTGGCTCAAGTGGTAGAGCACCTGCCTAGCAGTCAGAGCTTAGGCCCTGAATTCAAACTTAGACCCACCAAAATTAAAAAGCAAAATAAACAAATAAATAAAGATAAGTGATGCTGGGATCTTTTCATATCAAATGGGAAAACTTGAATTTTTCTTCATGCTTTGAAAAGCAAAATTAAAATTCTGCTTCTTTGTACCATCAAAACTTGTGGTGAATGGCACATGAGAACAGCAAATATTCACTAAGCATTTACAAATGGCTGGCACTCACGGTGTCTGGAGGAAGCAAAGAGAAGCATGGCCTGGTGTCTGCAGGGCTTTGTTGGACAGAACAGCTGCTGCCTTTGCCCTGGTCCTGCCAGCTCTGGGCAAGCCATCAGTCTGTTAAGTTGGACTTAGAATTTAAAGTTAAAAACTAAAAGCGTTGTACAAATCTATAAACAACAGTGGAACTTTTTATGACACCCATTGGCCACTGCATTTTTATGCTTAATTTATTCTAATTTATTTATAATTTGACTTGTTTTAGAGGAGTTAAATTAAAATATAAAATATTCCCTAAAAGAGAATGTTACATTTTACTGAATTTTTATTAATTTTATAAATTAGGCATTGATTTTAAAAACCAAAGCAGCCTTGATAGGTTTTTCCATGCACAAATTCACCCTCAAAGGCACTATCAAACCAGCCTTGACTGGGCAGCCAGTCAAGGCTGCCCTCAGCTCCACAGCCTCTGCCAGTCTATCCATCTATAAAATGACCCTCCTGACTCACAGCACTGTGTGAGACAAAGCCCTCCTCCAGTGGAAGCTGGTTTCACAACTGAGCTATGGGAAGTGAGCTGGTTCAGCTGGACAAGCCAGCTGTCCCTGGGCACGGCTATCCTGCACAACCAAATCTTGAGCTCTGGGCCAGCTGTGAATCTTCTGGAGAGAGGCATGACACAGTCTTTGTCCTTTGCAGCCTGAATCTCTCAGAAGGCGGGGAATAAAAGCCAGGCTTATCTTGGCATTTGTGCTGTTTATTGTCTTAGAGGTCAGGCGTGGGCAATTGCTTAATCACACAGTCTTCAGTTTTCTCACCTGTAAAATGGGTATAACAGAAGGGGTAGGGACTGTTTTGACAGATCAGATGATACTATTAGGCAGGGATATGGGTCACAATTCTTGGTATTTGTAAAGTGCTTGGGTGTGTGACATAAATACGTCCATTCCCATAGTAACTGTAATAAGGATTTACCCTTCAGCCCTTACGCAGCCCTGAAAGAAGGCAGTCTGTCCTGCAGCCCTTTCTTCTTGCCCTGTGCTCTCACACTATTTACAGCCTCCCCATGCTGCCTATGTGTCTGTTGTTTCTGTTTCCTGGGTTGCCTCGTCCCGCATCTCTTCGCTTCTGAAGCTCTACCTGTTGGTGAAAGCTGGGCTGGACCCTATGTTCTCACAAGGTCTTCCTGCCTGCATCTCTTCAAATTACAGTCTGGCTCCACACCCTTAACCACCCCTGTCTCACTGGGAGCTCACTGAAGGCAAGAGCTTTGAACTTCACCTACAGCTCTAACGCCCAGCCTGGCACAAAGAGGGCCAAACAGAAAGATTTATAGATTATTGGTGTCAAAGCCTGATTCATCCTCTATTCCATGGCTCCAGGTAGAAACTCAGACTCATCCTCGATTCCTTCCTCTCCCTCAGAGCCCTCACCTAACCCATCAAGTCCCATCAACTTCAGCTCCTAATATTTTTCTCTTGAATATTCTCACTTCTTTCCCTCCTTCCCTTCCTCCACCACCTTCCATGCGATCGTCATTCAAAAACACTGTAACAGCCCCTTAACTGATGTCCCTGGTGGTCTATTCTTGTTCTCATCCATTGTATTTCATGTTGAGATCAGAATCTTCAGGAGATCAAACCTGATCTTGTGTCCCCCGCCCACCCCCCGCCCCGACCCCCTGCTTTCAACCCTTTGATGGCGTCTCGTCTCCTCGAGCTAAGCTCTAGCTGAGAGCCTCCTCCCACCCTGCTCCTGCCCATATGCGCCAGCCCCTGGGACTTCACACTGTACCTCCAGCCCATCCCACTCCTTCCCAGCTTTTGCACATGCTGCTGTCTCCTCC